ATCCTTCTATCATGTGAGGATATATTGCATTAACCTCAGGTACCTGAGGGGAATAATTTCCTTAAGGGAACACTATGCATTTAGTGGACTCGATTTTCTTTCTTTGAGAAAAATATTTTTATATTGTTTCTAATCAGTTTCTGATCCTATTTTCTCTGCTAGTCTTAATTTTCTGTTTTTGAAAATACTCTTTTGTTATTTCTTACTAAGTTCTATAAAGTTTTGTTCTAAGTATCTTAGGAATACAAGATGAACAACAAATCCTAGGTCTATCCCTAATGAAATTCCAAACAATAAAGCATCGTATCCTTCTCCTAAATACTATGATTGCGGTTCTTTCGAGTAAGAAAAATGTACTCTTTCCCACGTTTGGTAACTTCCCTTCTATGTAGACTACCTAGCAGACTTTCAGTCTTAATACACTATAGTGGCCAACCAGAATAAGTTTCTCTCCTGTGTTGGTATTGACATTGGACCCCGATTAAATGTGAATATGCAGCGGGAGATTTCATATAAGGGGTAAAACGCCTTCCACACTACCTGACTCCGCGCTCTTGTCTATATAACCCTCCACCTAGATCCTTCGGCTAGCTACTCCCATGTTATTCCTCATATGCTTAAGTCATCTACAACCCCTTGAAGTCAACCCCTTGAAGTTGTCTTGTATATTTCACTTAGACACTTCAACTAGGGTTAGTACCTATTGAACACCTAAATTGTTCAAAATGTATAACTACTAGACACAAAATATTGATATGGCAAGTGTTTTTCACTTTCCTTTGGCGCATGAAGGTATCTAAAATCATTTTTTTTTTTCAAAGAGAACTTCAATTTTTCTTCTTCCATTGATCTTAGCATTGTAAATGACTTAAAAGAATTTTAAAATATTTTTGAAATCAGTAACTTTTTAATCGCAAAAAGAAAAAGCCTCCCACCCCCGCTTTCGGTCATCTTCTTCACTTTAACTAGTTTTCAAGCCAACTGCATTGGATTTTAAAAAATGAAAGAAGAAAGAAGAAAGAAGATTTATGGACACTGAAGTAAAAAAATTTAGTTGATACCCCCATTTTGGGCCACCTTTTAACAAACATCACCCCTCAAAATTAAAATGTAAAACTCATTTAACTTGTAAAAATTATTACCTAAGAATTCTATAAAATTAATTTGGATCCTCTTGATTTCTTTTTTGTGATCGATTTTTAAATGATTATCTGTCAATAAACTCTGCTTCTTCATCACTCTTGTACGTATCTCTATATATGTTTCTCTCATGTATTAGGTATGATTTTTTTTTTTTGAAAAAAAAAAAACTAAATTGGTAAATATTTTGATAAGATATTGAGTTTTGTGTTTTAGAATATGAAATGTTGGAGGGAAGAAGATGATGAAGAAAGGGTGTGGGGTAGGATGGGTTTGGGTAGTATGTATTATTATTTTAAATATTTTTATATATAAGTAAAAAAGATTGAAAGTGTATATGAAATAAATTAAAATGTATATCTTGTTTTGTTTTTATTTCTAAAATTTAGCAACATCTATCTAAGTGATTATTGATAGCATTTTTAGTGTTTTAATCAATCAAGCATTTCAATGTTGAAACTATAATTTCAATTTTTAATTGTTGTCAAATCGATTAGACTCACCTTTTTATAATAGTGCACCAATCATATCAAAATTCTGGATACGCCTTTGGTTCTAATCTCGACATTTTTTTTTAAAATCAAACCAAATCAACTAAGTATGATTATTTTTTTTTTCTTTCAATATCAAACCAAACAAAGCAATATATCTGATATAATCCAACAAATGAAACCTAGAGAATTATAAAAATTAAACATACATTTTACCTACAAAGTAGTAAAGAGGATAATGGTGTAATGTTTTCGACAAAACTGCTAACATGGTTATTCAAAGTAGTTGGTGATGCTTTTAGGATCTGCTAAAGATTGATTTGCTTGATGCATAATTTTGTACAAAATTAGAAGATGGCAATAAAGGTAGGAATAGACAAGTGATGAAAATAAAACCTTTGTTGCAGCATCAAAGTGTTTCATGGCATTGAATTTTATGATTTTTATCTATGTTGTTTGGACTTTTTAAAAAAATCAATGTGTGCGTGTCGGATTCTCTAAAATAGTGTGTTTTTGGAGAATCAGACAAAAATGCAGGCATCGAAAGTGAATAGTCCGCACAATTTAGATTTTTATGGATTCTGATCTTATAAAAACTCAAAGCATTTAACTTATTTATATTGTGATATCTTAATGAATTATTACACAATCAGTATATTTTAACTTGTTGCACAAACGTTTGCCTTATATTCAAGTTACTAATTTCAATTGTTATGCATTCATTGTGATTATCATTTAGTTGACATAATAATGCAAAAAATCATCCATTGATAAAAGTTAGTCAAAAGATTATAAATTTTTGGACCTTATTTAATCATGGTGTTGTCCAATCTATTGCCTTGTGTAGTTGGTTTGATTTTCTTCCATTTAACATTAAGATTTTTTTGTGGTTTGACAGTCCACACCTTTGGACAGGCTCCTCAAGTTTTTTGTTTAATAGTTAAAAGCGCAATATGTGAGGTGTAGATTAATTGCACGTTACGATTTCAATGTAGCCACAAATAAGTATCGTATTAATGACCAAATATCGAGCTGCATGGTCCTAAAAACTATTGACTTTTTATAAAATTATTAGTGAGTTATGTTTGTAGAAATTTTGCGTAGAGAAATCAAGGATTGTATTGATAATTATTGACCTATTTATAGGTTGATCAATATTGATAAATTGATATATTGATCAATATTGGTAGGATTGATAAATTGATGAATATAATGTTGAGCCCTAAGTTAACTATACTTAGAGTCCTACTACAATACCTATTACTACTATAATAATAATAATATAATTATAAATAATATAAATTCTAATCATAATATAATTCTAATATTAATCTAATACTGGTCATAATATAATTCTAATCATAATATAATTATAAACGAAATATAATCCTAATTATTTTAATTAGTCTAATCATAATGTGAATCCAATTCTACAGCAATGACGCAAACTCGTCGGTCAGCTTCGTTGGACATGTTCCTTTGACATGTTCCAATCATCAATTTCTTTTTTCATCAACACTTGTTACAGATAGGTCAATCAACTGTGTTCGATCTGTTTCGTTGACATGTTATAATAGTCAGTTTCCTTCTTCTTCAACAATGATGACTTTGCAATAATTAATTGCGGAGGAGCCACAGAAACAACATACTATTTTTAAAATTTTAGATACTATTCCAAATTATTACTCATTTTCTTAAAGTTTTTTTTGATTGCAATGATGCACAATTCACATAATTAAACAAGATTAACAGTCAATTGTTTATATGGGCTCTCTGTTTACCTTCCTATACTTCCTTGTGGCAATTCATATGAATGATTTTCCATATAATACTGAAAATTATCCTCAATAATCTTGGAAATGAATGTTATATTTTTAGTATTTTAAATATTTAAATTATCAATTACTATGATTTATATTATTCTTACAAAATTCTTCAAATATAAACTGATACGAAGTAACTATTTAAGGAAAGAGAAAACATAAAGTGATACCTGAAATTGTCCCCAATTTTCAAAAAGATAGCTTAACTATGCGGATGTCCTATTACCCCCTAAACAATCTTGAACTGATATTATTACATCATTTTTCGTCCACTTGGCATAGAGATTGTATGAAATCTTTTTAAAGGTTGAACAACATAAAATATTGAATATAACTTTATTTTGTTAGGTATTTTGTTATAAAATATAATTTCTTGTTTCTCTTATTATTTTAATTTTTTCTTTGTTTTCTCTCTTTCTTTCTTCTTCAAAACTTCATTATTTTCTATAGGGGTGTACATGACCGAGTTGATTTTGATTTTTCAAATATCAAATCAAATCATTTGTGTCGCATTTTTGAATTTATAAACCAAACCGAACCAATAAGACTCGGGTTTTTCAACTTTGGGTTTTTTTGTTTTTCTTCGGATTTTCGGATTTTTTCAGATTTTTTTGATAAAGTATTCATACAAACATATAATTTACTTGTACTTCAAATATTTCTTTAGTCCTACCAAAATGCAACTATCTAAGTTATTTCTCAAGCAAATAATAAAAAATATGATTTGATTAACGACACTAAAATATCCAAAAATAAAAAATAAAAAAATCGCGTAAAACAAATATTGCAAATTAATAGGTCATAATGAAATTGATGATAATTTAAAGTACTAAATCATGCTAAAATAAGTTTAGTAAGTATTAGTTACATGACTATATATTAAAAGAAAGTAAAATTAGATCATGTATTTTAATTGTCTAAATCTATGTAAACTAAAAAACAAATATTCAAGATTATTGTCATTCTTAGTGTTGGATTGATTTTCCATTTTGCATTAATATTAATTTGATTTTTATTTAAACTTTATTATAATTTCCAACATGTATGTATGAACTATAATATTTATTAGATCATTAAGAATTATAACTTCCAAACATGAAATAAATATATTAATAGATAAAAACTATGAAAAAGTATAAGAGATATTTAAAAATTATATCAAAGTAAATATTTCTACGTATAAAATAAAATTTTTAAATTATATATATAATGTCCGATTGGTTTGGTCTCGGATTGATCTTTTTTAGTTGAAACCAACCCAAATATAGTCGTTTTTTTTTTCCAACACCAAACCAAGTCAAACCAAATCACTAGTCGAGTTTTTTTTTTCAATTTGATTCGATTTGCGATTTGGTTCGATTTTGTACACCCCTAATTTTCTCTATTAAAACTCTCCACTTTCAGTGCCGTAATTTTTACCACAATTTCACGCTCTTTTTTTAAAACTATTATTAGGTAAAGTCTCTTCAGTTTTAAACCTTTATCTAATTTTTTTTAAAAAAAATCAAATTATTTGATGAACTTATTAAATTTCAAAATGATTAGAAGGTATCATTAACTTTACTATTCATATTTCATCAAGCTCTTTCAATTTTGAGGGTATTCATTTATTCTTTCAATTATTTATAATTTGAAGTTATATGAAAAAAAAAATTAATTGATGATACTTTCAATATTTTAAAATTTCTAAAAAAATAATTAGTTTTTATCACCGACTTAAAAAAGTTTAGAAAATAATGTAACTTTTTAAAGAAAAAAATTACTGGAAGAATGAAACTTGACGAAAGAAGAAGAAAAAAAAAGAAATGGGAAGGGACACAGCTTGACGAGGGTGTGGGGGGGATGATGGAAGGTGAAGTGAAATGTAAGATAATATTAAAATAAATAATTAAAAATAAAATAAGCAAAGGTAACAGAGAGAAAAAAAAAGGTAAAGAAAAAATTAAAATGAAAAAGAATTCTATTTTAAAATAAATTAACACGTGACACATAATGATTTGTGTGTAAAATACTTGGTTTTTAATATCTGAGATTGATCAAAAAATAATGTAAATATTTCACGTTAAAATTGTTTAGGGGGTAATAGGATGACTGCATAGTTGCTGTGTCTTTTTGAAAATTCGGAACAACTTGTCTTTCCTCTTTAAGGAGATGTAGAGATAATGTGCTTGTTTTTAAACAGAGCAAAAGTCAACCCAATCAACATCACTCATGTGTCATCTTGGTGACGACTCACGTGATGAAAACGAAGAGGAAAGTGAATCATGGAAAGGAGAAATTGACTTCCGGCTAGATCCTGAGTAAGAAGTTATGCCCGTTTTAGTGAAGTCTCATCAGGAAATGCATCTTCATGAGTTGCTAGATGGGTTTTGGTCATCATGACGGCCCGTGAAGCCCCTATTTGAGTCATAGTCAGGATGGCATTGATCTTTTTTCCTATGCACTTTGTACTTACAACGTCGTTTAATGCTTAGACTATATCTTTTCATTGTGTCTAAGCTTAATAAACTAGTCAGAAACTACTAAGAACTCTCATTCTCCTAAAATCGCCTAGATTAGAACGAAAAGAAAAAGCAAGAGTCTACAATTACTCACAAGAACAAGTAGAAGTCTTTTTCAAGTTCATTCCAAAAACTAAAGGATTTCTCCTTAGATTTGGTCACCAAGTAGGTGGGAATTTCACCAGTGATTCTTTTAGTCCATTAGGTCTCTAGAGTTCAGTTAGTTTTTTAATTCTTCATAGCATGCTTAGACCTAGGGTTTTTAAAACTTTGGAGATTTATTGTGTTTTAGCTACAATGGTTTCCATAATCTAATTAGCATGTTTTATTGGAAATTTTCATAGTTCCATGTATATAATTCAAAACCTTGGCTTACATTAATCATCAGCACTCATAAATTATACTTGCTAGACAAATCAGTCATAAGATCATGCTTTAGAATTTGAATGCCATTACCTTTTAGTATATTTATGTGCATTCCCAGATGACATGTAAGTATTTTGAGCTATTCAGTACTTTGTTGCATTTTAGCTTTTCATTCAATTGGAAGTAGACTTAGCATCGAGTTGGACTAGATCTCAACATACCCTCACTTGTTTAAAACTACGTGCCAACATAGGTTCAGAAGTCCCCTCTGTTGGGCACTAGTTTTAGTGATCACGCCTCAGTCGTATCTTTATACCCCTAGTAGGGTATATTGGATCCTCTTGATGGGGTGTGTACATCGGACTCCACGTTTAGCTCACGTAATTTATGTTGGTTAACAGTAGCTCCCACAACCAGACTTTCATTGCATTGACCATGAATTTCAATATTTAGTGCATTATATTAGCTACTTGATTAGTACTTGGTCACAGCATCTAGCTTAGCTTTTCCCTTACATTTCAGTACAATCTATTTTTCATGCTCATTATTATATTGCTTTGTTATATCATTGTTCAACTTGGTATCTATATCATGCATGCTCAGTACATATCAAGTACGGAGGCATACTTTACACTACATCGTTTTATGATGTAGGTTTAGGCACTCATCATCCAGCTCACGCGTAGTTTGACTTCCAGCCTATAATTAGCAGCTTCGTGGTGAGTTCTCATAGTTCGAGGATATTTCTTTCTGTATCTACAAGATTTCCTTGCTTGTGAAAGATTGATGATTATATAGCTTAAGTGAACACAAAACTTGGTGAGTAGACTATAAATGAATATTTACCACTCCATCACAACCTTTATTGCTTGTTCCAATACGTCCTTATTGTAGGCATACTTTTGTTAGAATAGCAATTCAAGAATATACATTTGTGAAAGGATAGTATTCATCACTGCTAGAAAGGTTAAAGACAACCATGTTAGAATGGCATTACAGGTTAACATCACCACCTTAGGTACAAGGACTGTCAACAACAGTTGTTACTCCTACAAACAACTAAAAACTGTTATACTAGTGACTACTACCAATGGAGGGGGGGTGGGGTGTAAAAGAAGTATTTGCTACACAGATATATGTAAAGTCAGCAATCCACGGTAACACAGAATCCTAGTGTCGTCATTGCTCTGGCAGTCTTCGCTGAGATAAATACGCTGCTGAATGAAGAGTTATAAAGTTAGATAATGTATCTAAAATAGAAATACAAAAAAGCAACACGATTCAGGGATTTGAACAGATAACCAATCCCTTGCTTTGCATAGCTCTGTTACTTTAAGTGACCATGTGGTTAGTCAAATCGACACTCTGACACTACCATGAGTTTTAAGGGAGAAATACCCCATGAACTGTAACGACAGAACAACGACTAATGACTGCTTCAGTGAAGAGGTTATGATGATTTACCTGAGCAGAACAAAGGGACTTCATGAGTTCAATCAACATATTGTTTCCTGCTGCTTCACTAACTTGAATGAGGAGAAACTCTGAAACTGATTATGCCTAAAGGGAGGATATGAGTATTCAAGTGACAACTCCAAACAGTATACTTTCTTGGAGAAAATAAATTGTCAACCCCAGAATTAAGAACCTCAGAACTAGGTTGAAACTGTCCTGAACCAGGAGTGACAACTTCAATTTTTCCTACTATCACTTGGCAAATCAATATATGTCTTAGTCCATCTTTGTTTTGAATAGCAGTTTGGAGAAAATCAAGAGGGTAATCTTAAGCAGAAAACTGAACTCCATGACGGTAACTTGATCGAATAAACCAATCGTAATTATGTCAACAATTTCTTCCTTGGAAGCTCCATACCAACCAATCTTCAAAATAGGATTATCATTGCATTTTTTCGTCATGGCCTCTGAAAGTAGATTGAAAGATTGCAACTTTGTTTCGTAAACAAAACTGGAACGTTTCACATGAATAGCCTCAACTTGGATTGATGATGCTGGTGCACCCAAACCAGATATAAACTTGGCTATGGTAGGTTTAAGTTTCACATTATCTGGATGGACTTGTTTCAAGACATTACCAAATAACTGATCTCCTTGACTTTTACTGCCAGAAAGCCCAACCACTGGATCTGGAGTTGTTGGACTTTGTACCTCCTTTTTATTACAAGGGTTCCTGCTTGAGCTCGCAAGTTCAGCTGGATCTTCAAGTCTGCGCCTTTTCGAGTTCAGCCTGATGAAAACCATGGTTAATTATGGTGAAAAAAGGGTAAAATTATTAGAGAAGAAAGGACAATTTCCAACGACAAATATATAAGGCTAAATCTGCTCTAGACGTTAATTGGACAAAAAGGAAAACAATCCACTAGGGAACAGACACCAGTTAACAATACGCATTGCAAAAACAATCCACTAGCGAACAAGATGATGCAGAAGGCCTGTATAGGACTAGACACTCTTCTCCCATAGGCATTGTAATAAAGATATCATTTAGCTATTTCCCAAACCAGTTAAGGGGTCTACAATGCTTTGTGTTTTCCCCTCATATCAGCTGTAACACTTTTTGGAGATAATAAAATGCTCTATTTTTGTTAAAACAGTTTTGACTGGATATTACTATAAAAGTAGATTGAAATTACGCGAGCAATATTTCTTGACATGTTTATTTAAGATTCTATCGGAGAAAAGGAAATTCGCACATATTACTGTATTCACCAGGAGAAACAGTTAATTGTTCTTGAAATAATGAAATTATATCTTAACATGTGTGCACAGTTCATTCCCATTACTTTTCTTCTTCTTCTTTAACAAAGAATCGAACAAAACAACTTAAGCAAAATTCAAAAACGTTAAGTCCCTTCTTCATATCAGTTTCCACATTTCTTTAATGTCAATACTTCAAAACAGACTAAGCTCCCACCACATCAAGTTAACGAATAAAATGAACTACTGAAACAAGATATCAAAGAAACATAGATGATGCAATTTGGTTAAATTGTCATGATTTCTTCGAAATTCTCAGTTTTTACAAAAACAACATTGGTTTTGCAGAGTGAAGAAAGAAGAATGAGAAAGAGAACAGAAGAAACCTGGCAATCGTCCGATTCAATTTCACCGGTGGGTGAGAGAAGGGTCGCCGCTGACGGCAGGAATCTACAAAATTACAGAATCGGAGGGTTTTGCGTTACAGAGAAAGTAGGGATTTTGAAAATTGGGGGCAAATTTTTTCACCGAAACGGACATATATTAAATGGCGGGAAGGATAACTGAAAATTGGCTGCAAATGAGTTTATTTTTAATTATTTAGTTCAAAGTTATTTAATCGACCAGAATATTGCTCATTTTTTTTCTTTCAGTTGAAACAGTAATTTAAACAATAAAATAAAAGCAATGTCTAAAAATAATCCTGTAATATACTGTTGGATATATTAAATAAGGTCTGAATCAAATCGATTACGAAAAAACATCACAATACCAGTTAAATCACTATCTTTCTATTCATCAATGCATGTACAAAAATAATACTATTCTAACTTATAAAAAAATATATATATATCTCTGTGTTTTTTCTCTCTCATTGTGCTATAGCCTCCTTTGCTTCACTCTGTGTGACCTTGGATAAATCATCAAGATCACGAGTTTGTAGACTGATAACCACGTTGTGGCAGCGGCCACATAGCAAAGGATGCTCAGTAAAAGAACCTACTTGAGGTGAATAATTCCAGCATCTGTCACATTTCGAGCCATTTGCACGAGATACACCAACCCAGATTTTGTCCCCTTCTTCCATGAGGTATTCTCCCGTGTACTGAACATCTTTAATCCTTTCATCTTGCAAGGAGTTGAGAATCTCCACCTGACAAATATCGCAAGAATGTACTCAAAAACAACTACATTATGCGCTCAAAGAAGACATTTCTGTTATGGAGGCCTAGAATACCTAAACAGAGACCGTATTTCACGTTTTAAGACTATTACCACATGTGTCTAACGAAATTCAGCTGAAAAGATGACCAATATTTGTTGCGAGTGTGACTAGGTTTTCAAGAGGATCCAATTTAGTTTGTTTCAGTCTCAAGTGAACTCGGCAACAACATAGCGAGAACACTACTCATAAAAGACATGTAACAGACACATTTATACCAAGACCTATAGAACCTTGAGCATGAGTCCTAACTATACAAAGTTAAAATGAATACTGCAGTATACCTGAGATGTTATGAATATGCGATGTAAAGCATCTGCCTCATTTGTAGGTTCGCACATGTTGTTTAGTCTCTCAGCCAGTCTTTCATTAGAACAATGGAGATACACCTTGGCCTCTAAACTGGAACCAATCAATTTTCCACTTCGAGCTACCTCTAATGCTTTGTTAACTTCCGTCCTTAGCTGGTCATAGTTGTTCAAATTGTCATCATCAGAAAATGATTGATAAAGTAGCCAGAAGATAGTGATTCAATATAAAGCAAATAGGCTCTATTTGGCAGCATGAATGAAACCACGAATAGTTTAAATTATTAAACAAAATCAAATCTGATATCATGGACAATCATTTGCTCCCTCAAATTATTAAAGATACCAATATGCACTGTACTTGTATGGCTCATAGATAAACAGATATCAGCCCCCTTTGAGCTTACTTAAGCAACTGGTCGCCAGATTGGAATACTAAGCCAAACTTAAGTTTAACCAACTGGTAACAAATAAAGTTTTGGGCCAAACTATGTGGATTAGCTGGCTCAGATGTATAGCAGTTACCTCAAGAATTTTTCCCCAAAAGTCAACTTCTTCCTCTGGAAAGGAAAGGTACTCTGTATCTAGTTCAGGCCATCTTGACTCAAAAACAAATTTAGCAACATGCCCATCTTCAGCAGTATACTGAAAAGGAAGATGCTGCCACATATCCTCGGCCAAATGGGGTAAGATGGGAGCAATTATCCTTCCAATTGAAAGCAAATGGGCTTCAAGGACTGTTTGACAACTCCTCCTTGTAAAACTTGCACTCCCCCTGAAAATAACATAAACAAAGTTTATTAGGTAAGGTAAAATTCATCAAAAAGGTACCAAGAAAGTACTCAAAGCATACAAACTACAGCACAGTTGTATCTACTATAATCTCAAAACTTCTATAAAATCCATGTACTGAACTAAGTCTTCTACCAGATTTACCCTACATCAAAAGTACACATAGAAGACTATTTTTATGTTTTAAGAATAGCTAAATGATTCTTCTGATTCTCAACGTATCTCTTAATTCTATCCAACCAAATGTTCCAAAAGATGCAGAGAGGTATGCTTTTCTAGATTTGTGTTAGTTATTTCCTGACTTTCTGATTCTGTCAACAAACTAGTAGGCCTTTCACATTCTTTGGCATCATTTGTTGCACACCACTCATATTCAGGAACAGATCCCATAACTGCTTTGTATGATTGCAATGCGAAAACAGATGATCCGCAGATTCCTGAGAATTTTCACAGGGAACACATCTACTGCACAATGTAATTCCTCTTTTCTGCAACATATCTTGACTTAAGCATGCATTTCTAACTGCAACTCAACCAATTTACACTAGCATCTGACTAAGCTTTCAATACAAGCTGTTAATGAGTTCATGTAACGAGCAGAAAAATGGATTCAAAGCTCTTGGCCTACAATTTTTTATATAAGGAAAGTCAACAGCAGCAGAAGCCTCAATGTAAAGGAAGATCAATGTAAGCAATCCCCCACACAAAGTCAATTTTCAGAAGATCTTTCAAAACTCATATACAGAGGTCATAAAACCCAACAACTCGTACACGGGACATGATACAAGTACCGAAATGATGACACTGAGTCAAGAATTGAGGTCTGTAAATACTAACTTCCCTAAGAGAAGTAGCTGGGATCTCAAGTTTGATGGTTGATGCAAAGACTCTTAGTAAACATGTTTATACCATCAAACTGCAGTTCTCAAGAAATGAACACACCTTAAAACATACAAAATCTCAGTAGAGCTACATAAGATAAAACTGATACCTACTAAGACATTCTACAGAAGTGATCGATTGTCAACCAAGTTAGCATGCCACATCAACTTGAGTCAAAACCTACCAGGGAAAGATATAGTGGAACAACAAGATCCTCTTTCTTTTTCTGTAGCCGATAATCTAAAAATTAGGCTTCCAGAAACTTTTGAATGTGGACATGAAGTTAATACAATATTTAAGGAGCAAACAGCCCAAACTAACTGTCCTCCATATATACACAAAAGTGCAAGAGGAGACATTGATATATCTCTTAGTAGTCCATAAAATGTGCTTTATTGTATTTTGATGAACTGTTCAAGGTTCAGGGAAATTCGAATTATGGTCATTTATTTGATAGAAAAAAAGAATTAAAGTCGCAAGCCTACCAACAAAACAAACAGGATAGTTCATTAAATGAGACAGTAATCTATTTAACCGAGATATCAGCAGCAGGAATTCTTGCAAGCTTTGGCCACTATGATAAAAGGGTAAATTTGGCGATGTTCAGTTTAAGGGAAAGTGACACTACTCCAACATTTGACATTTCCATCCGAATAAAAATAAAGCAAACAAACTGATTTAAATTTCAAGGAATAGTTTGGTCCACCACACCAGCAACCCAAAATCCAACCCTTCCCCAATTCCCTGCTTCTCGTCCCTAGTCGGTTAGTCCTGGATCCAATTCCAGTCGACCGAGATTACCCATTATTGAGATTAACGTCTAATTAACAAACAGATGCACAATATGAAGGAAGATGTGAAGGAACCAGATCCTTATTCCATGGTTCTTGCATGCTATGAAAAACAGCATCTATGTTAAGATCTTGTATTGAGATATCTTTGGAAAATATATGCGAAGTATATCTTTTTATATATTTCCTGTACTATTCATATAAGAATATGTAAGATATTTACAGGATCTTCATGGTGTTTGAATTGGAAAAGGATTCCACATGGAGATATTTTTGAAAAGTCGCATCTTAAAAAATCCTTTTGGATGTAGAATCGGAGTTGTTTATGATTTCCTTAATTCCCAGGATCTTTTTCTTTCTTTTTTTGAAGACCGTGATGTTGAGGCCAGCTTTCGCGCACCACGACTAGTTCCACGGGATACCTGCCATCTCCTACCAGCAATAGATACCAGATAATTCTGTCCACCAAGGCTACAACAAATGGAAAAAATCACCTAGTGGTTTTTTGTCTCCGCTGAGTTCTGAACCTGAGACTTCAGGATTCACAACCACTTCATTGACCACTAGGTCACACCCTTGGGTGCTCCTTAATTCCCAGGATCTTCGAGATATATGGTTTCCTTGTTTATGTGCTTACTAACAAGAAGACTAGATATCCTATACTTGCTGCAGGAAACCATGCATTCATGCATTAAGAGAAAAAAAGAAAAAGTCGTAAAGCTTTCAAGCAATGAGCTGTTCCTGGAAGATCTGAAGACTATCGAAGAGTGAACACTCCGGTCAATGAGTCCAGTCCTAATTCAATTGTACTAGGCTTGTCAAGTTGTAATCATCTTCTTTTAAGCAGTATTACTAGGTTGTTGATGTTCTAGGGAATAGTTCCCAAGCCCAAACCACTGGGAACTATTGGGCCACCCCCAACTTCACGATTTGGGTAACTTATCTCGATCACCTTTACTGTAGTTTCTCGCCTTCCTTCCTAAGTGCGAAGCTAGAGTTCAAGCTACGGTTGCGGCAGAATCTAGTAGCTTTGGCCAAAATCCTGTAATTGTGCTAAGAAATCCACTTAATACGTATATATGATTTATCCAGAACCCAGTAAGCAGCCATTTCTAGAACTCAGAACCCATAAACACAAAAGTATGGATCTGACCCTACTCTTTCCCTCTGCAGCTTCCGCCTTTTGGGATCCCATTATCTCCACTCTTATGATCTTTGGCGAGCCAATGATAATCTCGTAGCAGCAGTAGATCTCATTTCGTATAACTTTTTCTGATTATTTTTCTTCTTTCCAAAATATTGTATGAAAATTACCTAAATACAGCTCATTTTGATGGCATTTAAATGGGTTTAATAGATAAAGAGCCAAAAAGCAACTTCTGGTTAACATAGGCCATCATCAGAAGAACCTTATACAAGAGGGGCCAAAACTGAAAAAGGAACCCTTAATAATTACAATATTTAAAGCTCTTTTAATATGGTAGCATTATGTCTTGCTTTGTTTTATATTCTTTTGTTATTTTTTTAAAAAAAATCCAGCACTTGAAACATTAGACAAGCTTGGAAGAGAACAAAAGGTGAGATTATGTAGAGATGCAACATGAATTACCCAACATAAAGCCGATCCTTAGCGACATCAAGATAGAAGTTTGAGAGGTCAACTATCACAAACCGCTGAATCACCTGCACGGACAATAAAAATAATAACATAAAAATGGATGTCAGCCATTAAAGGGATGAAAGCAGTAAATAAGTATCAAAACAGCTG